TTATTTTAGCTTCATTTACATCTTATGAAAACATCTTTAACTGTGACACTTTATGGAACTGTGGCTGTAGCAGCCATATGCTTGGCTCTGAATCAGGGGTCAGAGCCACTTCAGCGTATACAGGTTGACAATCTGTACCTCTTTATTAATACTACATGTACTGGAGCTCAAGCTTCCAAACACCACAAGCTGCAACTCATTTAACTACAAGTAATCTATCAGCTCTAACCAGACTCCATGGAGTAATGACTAATTCTAGGATTTGGTGTTATCATGAGAAGATACGCGGCCCCGGTGTAACAGGATGAACCACAAGCAAAAGAGAAATTAATGAACAGTGATGATGCAGTTTATAAATATCAGCATTCAGAAGTCTCTCAAAAGCTTTAAAACATCAGAAGTGTTCTATAACTAAACTTAAGATAAAGCTAAGATCAGAATACATGTCCCAGTGTATCCCTCCATTTCCTTCACACCCCACAGCTCTCATCTGCCATGTAACGAACAGCACATCTGAAGTCCTAGATCTTTCCCTTCAGCATGCTGGCTCTATTTCACTTGAGGTAGAGGGTGTCTGCACAATACCTCCTGATTGCTGAGGCAGGGAGTTATCAGAAAGATGCCAGAATTATGAACATGTAGCAGACATTCACTCTCAGAGTAAGACAGTATATTCAGAAAGTTGGTACCTGGGGAAAACTGAAAGGGTGTGATACATAGTCAAGACCAAGAATGCTCTCATCAGCATTTCTTTCTCACAGTCTTCCTTTTGAACGCCCATTTGATTCAGCCAAAGGATACTGATTTAGTATTTACTCTCCAATATCTACAGAAATAATATTTTTTTGGCAGCTAGTAGATGCATATATATATTTCATGTACATGAAATGTTTTCTTATAGTTAAATTATTGTTGCCATCAAATTACAAAAGATGGCTCCACAAGACATTATTTAAAAAGCATATAGAAAATAGGCATAATTCCTACAGAAAATAATATATAACATTAAAAAGTTACCACAATGAATGACAAGCACATATCTTGAAGGGTTGTTTTTTGTTTTGTTTTTTTTTTTTCCACAAGGCCACAGGTTATTTTTCCTATCTATACCACAGAAAGATAAGAAATTATAAAACCTGACTTTCATTCCTCCAAGAGAGCACACAGGTTTTGTCTCAAATTCATCACTGCCAGTCAGCTGGAAAAATAGGATGACTTTGAAATTCTGTTTTTCCCTAAATCTGCATCATAAACATGCTTATTTATGCCCAAGAGCAATTTAAGTGTATAGTTTGTTATTTTTTTTATGGTTCTGCCTCTCAACAACATGATTTTTCTCTACAATAAGGGTGTCAGATGATTTGAACTATCACAATTTGAGAGTGACCACATGGATTCAAGCTAATGCAGTTAACAAAGTTTAAAAATCCAGTAAAAACACTTTTAAAATTTTATTTTCAAAACCAAAAGCAACCTCCTAAAAGCTGTTTTCATCATTGCACCAACCTTCAGTTTTCTAAGGTAAATGAAACTTAGAAAGTAGTGCGCTGTATTTTCTCACTTGAATTGTATTTATAGACTTTCAGGCAGAGGGTAAGATTGCCCCCTTTTGGAATTTATAAGTGTAACAGTCCAAATAAAGAATTAGGTGGAAAGCATTCCTAAACCCTACTCAAGATATACATCCCATCAAGGATCATTTGTGCTTCATATTGTTGTGTTCTACTGTTATTATATATGTGGCTTCACATTCCTTATTAAAGCAATAGACATGAAAGAATTCAACTGCTCTTGCCAGCAGCCACAAAAGCACAATATCTATAGTCAGATAAAGGTAAACGTATGGAACCTTTCAAAGAATGCTGTAGTAAAGGTGGAACGTGACTGCATTCTCCCTTTCTCTGCTCTGTAGGACAGACTTCACAAACAGTAACCTGTAATTACAGTGTACCATAAAGTAGCATTGTCTGATAAAAACAAGGACTCCTCAGTGACCTGACCAGGACTGTGCAATCAGGAGTCAGTTCTTATAGAAGGAAAACAAGAGCTCTGATACAGCTTTAAGGAAACAGATGAACCAGTGGATGTCTTTTAATAGCATTATTGCTCTTTAGGTGGAAAAAATGCACATAATTAAAGTTATTTTTATTTTATTTCAGGACTAAGTCTGGAGCCTCAATCCTCTTGAGATGCACTGAAACACCTGCGATGCACATACCCTCTGCTGTTGTCTCAAGACCAGCAAGTAATCCTACGTAAACAATTCCTGGTTTATGCATTGACATTTTTCTTTCTCAATTATTTCCACCAGTGTCTTCTCTGTCCTTTTCAGCATGTATGTTCTTAAGGTTCAGAGGACAAGACTACACTTAAACCTCCCCACATGTATTTTTAGCTATATTAATGAAGGCTAGCTTTATTGAAGAGCTTCAGCCTACATAACTGAACAAACTTTTAGGCAAATGTTTGGGGGTAAGCTCATTGACAGTCACTGTTTTCAAGGCTAGAGTAATAGTTATTTCCCAGGAATTATATATGTAAATCTCTTCCAATTAACAAAGCCCACTCATTTTCATAGGAGCCTGGTGGCCCAGAATTGGTAGTTTGATCTGAATAAGTATATTGGTATGGTTTCAGCTAGAAATAATTTCTCAAGTGGTTCAATGGCCATATTACAAGAAGAAACATGGAGACCGGTTGATAGACTGATGTAAACCAGCAATAAAATAGAAATCAGAGAGTATTACGGAGGCTGCACTGATCTGTCTCATCATAGCTGAAACAAGACATTTGTTCAAGCAAACTAAGAACAGGCAGGCAGTACACCACAGCAGACACACAGGAAAACAGAATAGTTAAGCTGTGCAATTCTGCTGAAGAACTCATTGCTTAAACCCTGAATGCAATGTTAAGTAACGCCATGATGTTCGTCTCAGCCCCAGGCTCTAAGGAATATTATATTTTGTTTTCCATTTTACTTCAATCAAAATTCTAACAGCAAAGGCTACTGGCTTTCAATAATTTAAGTGTAGTTCAGTGAACTAAACTGAGATTAGACAGTAATATTGGTTTATATGGAGCAGTACTGATGTTATACCCTGAGCACAATGCTGTGGAGCAGCGTTCATGCGGATGTTATAAGAACATCACTGTGCAAAATAATTTCAGTGCAGGTGCCTCAGCAATAGGAAACATCACTTATAGCTTTTAAAAATTAAAAAAGACATCAGCTACATTTTTTCATGTCATTTATACTTTAATATTCTTAATCTCTTAGACATCAAACTTTAAAGAATGTGATGAAAGTGATCCTTATCACTTCCATACGCTTTCTCTTTGTGCTACAGTACATAGATTATCGCAACATTGAAGATAAGGTATTGTAAATTCCTGTTTTCATAAACAAGCTGAAGTCCCAGCTTTACTGACTAAACCTCAGCGCGAAAATCACCATTACACAAAAAGCACCAAGTGTAACAAGATGAACCACAATGTAACTTTCCAGACTGTTTGCCCAAGTTGTTTAATGCCCTGCGTGTTTCTGTTGAGGGAAAGTGAGAACTTAAGTTGAATTATGTCCTTGCTGCTCTTGAAATACTTTAAACAGTCATTTAAACTGCAGCCAGTGTGTCATGCATTCCAATACAGAATATAAGAAGCTATGTATTTAGTGTCACTGTAAGACTTTTACCTAGAGTTTTCCTTCCATTGCCATGAAGTTGATCATGAGGAAGGAATGCACTCTGATCATGCTCATTACCTTACTAAATGTGACTTCTAAAGAGATCACTTCATGTGTCCTCAAGGATGCTGAAAAGTTATTTTATTAAGAGAAACGCTTGATTTCCTTTACTGACAAATTCATTGGACCAAAAGGCTGTCATTAATCTGTAGCTATCTTGATATCTATATATGGAAGAGGAATACTCCAGCAAGACATACATTCTTTATTTAATAACCACATTTTTTATTTTATAGTCACTAAAAATACTCTACAAGGATAAGGATAGGAGCAGGAGAAAATCCACTTATCCTTTCAGAAAGTTTAAATATGAATTTTATAGGGCATACTTTTATTACACATAAAAGGCTCTGGATCTCTATACTTAATTCCCTGATTTATTTTACCTCTTTGCTATTAAGAAAGGACATTAAGCAGCACTGCCAACCGATATATAGTTTTGCTCCTGATTTTAAAAATGCTTAAAAAAAGTGTTAGAGGCAATAAACTTTTCAGCTCCTTCCTTAAGCTAAGAGAAAAATCCTCATAGGTTTTACTATGGCTCAGAAATTTTTAGCATGTCCTCATCTTTGTCATGTTTTGATACAGATTCTTCTGATTCTGTCACCACATGCCTTATGGGCTGGGGACTCAACAGCGACTAATTCTTAATTCAGTTAATACACCAAAGTTTGAGTGAAAGGCTGGCCAAACATCCCCACTTTCTGCTACCATCAGGCCTTCTCTGCTAATTCTTCACTGGGATCTACATGAGAAACAGGTTCTACCTGCTCATAGGTTCTAATCAACTGTGCTCTTCATTCTCTTTCCACATTCTCAGGAAGGGTGGAGGCATCATACTTGAAACAAACACAGCACCACTGAATAGCAGTTGTCCCAAGAACATTGTTATTTGTAGGACAGGTAGGAATTCTGTTTGCTTATTTGTTTAGATGGTAAAACTCTCCATCATTAGCAAATCTACTATGGAACCTTACTGAAGTATGTGACTAGGCTGATACAATGCAACAGAATCCGAGTATTCTTAACAGAGAACTATCTGAAAATACTTGAAAGACTGTGAGTGTAGGAGAGAATGCTTATTATGTGCTTCCATAATCACATATTTCATTCAAATTAGAATCTATTGAGTAAATCCCCAAGCAATCTATGAGTTCTGTAAAGCAATTCCCACACTCCACAATTGTTCTTCAGGCAACTAAAAGGCCATGTAGCATAGAAACAGCTGTAGGCTGCAGAATGTTCTCATCTGACCTACTGGGGAGTTTCCACTCTGCTTTTTTCAAAGTTCAAGACAGAGGATAGACTACTGGGCTCACAAATACAGCTAGATGTTGAACACTGTTGTAAGAGATATATTAAAAAGATTCAAAGCAGTGTCTTTCATACAAAGCTTTATCTATTAAACATCAACTCAGCTATCTTGCCTGTATTTACAAATCCCAACCTTTTTTTCTAATACCACTTAAAAGAGGTATAACAGATTTGTAACAAGTCATATAATCAGCTAGGCCATTTGATAAGTAAATCTGGGTTGAAAAGAAGAAATTCTGTGTAAGTAGGAGGGGAACGTAGTAGAACACTGCATGCATTGTGATTATGAAGTACTCTGCACAGAAACGTCAATTCTAAGGAATATATTTTCTGCTGGTGTAAGAAGTGCTCTGAAGTAATAATTTACACTCATAAATGCTAATTGAATACTAAGCCAAATATGTGGAAACTTGTTTGACACATAGCAAGTTTCTCTACATGCTTAGGGAACGTATCAATTTAAGGATGAAGAAGGCAAGAAGAGTGTCAAGAAGACTCTTCTGGACAAGTCAATTCCTTAGCTGGAAATTAATTTCCTAGAGTTATAACTGCACTAATAGGGAGTATTTATATTTTGCTCAGTGGCCAAAATCAAAATGAGAATTAGAGGTCAAATTTAGTATTCTTATTAGAGGGTTTTGGTTTTAAATTAGTTTTTTAAACAGAGTTAATTTAGTCTCTGAACACTGTTTTTAAACAGAAGTCAAAGATTTCTGCTTAATTTCTTTGAATAAACTAAAGAGCAGTTCAGCACTGATTCAGAAATGGTTTCTGAATTTGTCTCAACCCCAAGCTCTAAGGAATATAATATTTTGTTAAAGCTGATAAAATGTTATTCACCTGAAAAAAAAAAAGAAAAAAGAAATGCAGATCTAGGTATTTCAAAAAGAATAAATTTACAATCAGTATTTTCTGGTTGCCCTTTTCCTCTTCTCAGCCTTGGCCAGGCAGACATCAAAACAGTACTGGTTAGCCCTGAGCCACCCAAGTACTGGCATAAGAATGTCCCACTAAGTTTATTGAAAGTGTGGTCATTTATACCAGAAGTGTACACAAACACCTTCAGAAATATGATTATCTTGGGAACTGAAGTGACTTCAGTGATGCTTAATCCTCATTTTAAAAACAGTGCTTGGGAAATTGAATACTTCATATGGTAAATAGACTGGTATTTTCATCAGAAAGTGCTGAGATTTTAATCTTTTCAAAGAGATTGAAACTTACTTCTTAGAGAGAGCCAATGAATTATAATATACATATGTATAACATACACTTTGTAATATATACATCAATCATATGTATATATTATGAGTAATTTTTAATAATAAAATTGAGAACATAATTAATTTGGCTGAATAAGGAGTCCTCAATTTATTCTAAAAATGCAGAAAATACTTGTAAAATCCTAGATTTATAACATCTAATAACATCATCTCCTAACTCTACACTAGGGAAGCTCTACGAATAATAAAGTCAAGAATTGCAAGAGAGCCTGTGGAGATTAGCAGTAAAGTTTTAACCTCAATCAGCAAATGTTCATAAAGACAGTGTAATTGGGCATCACACTGAAAACAAAAGTAATGGGTATGAATTCTTCAGTGATTTACAGTGATTTGTAGTGATTTATCTGCCCTTCTGTAATAGTATGGATGGAGCTCAATACAAAGTTTTAAGTATGCTCTGTGAAGACTTCCCTTGTCATAAGCTCAAAAGCGTTAAGCTATCTTTAAGAAAAGAAACCAGTACCACTCCATTGTGTATGTGGAAAAATGTACAGACAAGAATGGCATGCTACTTCCAAGACAGTCAATTAAACTGTAACATGCATGTTCACGCCAAGTTTCTTCCACCAGAAGGAACTGTCTCCATGAGACTGTTTAGCTATACAAATCACTATTTATCTAGAGCCTCTGACAAGAGGCAGTCAAATCAAATTCTTCCAGTGGAGATACACTCATGCTAAGTTATAGCACTGTTTTACACTTCAAAAAGGCATCATAATCAGTTTATGAAACATGTAAAAAATCTAGGCTGGTGCAGTGCCACGGTTCTCCATAAATGTTCTAAAAATGAAAAGTGCTGTTGCTATAGCAGGCTTGTGAGCTTTGAATTCGTTGCTAATGAGTATTGCTTGGAAAACATACTGAGAAATAACTGTAGATTAATGTCATGTTTCAGAAAACCCAAATGATCCTTTTTTATTCCATTTGTCATGGCATCTGAGTTTGGTAGCACAATGCAGAGCTCCTTGAACTCCCATTGGCTGGAGTCGATTTCTCCCATTCAAAACTGGTCCCATAAAGTTTCTGGTAATGCCAAAATGTACTTCTTCTTTAGCCTTCAGAAACAAACACACACACACCTTTTTGCTGAGAATCAAAGGAAACAAGAACTTTTCATAAAAAGCAGTTTGTCTCAGACTGTCACAAACCACAAACTCTATGCTTACTCACTCCAGGCTGCCAGTTTCTAGCACTGGGTTTGCTCATGTGTAAGTGCAGGTAAGTTATTGCTATGAACATCCTCCCATAAACTGACTCTTGAAGAAAACAGCAAAAATGCAAACAGTTCCATAAATAGAAATTATAAACACCCAGTCTCAAATATAATTACTTGTTCATAACTATTGCCCATTAAAAGGTATAGACCACACATCAAAGTACTATACTTGGAATAAATATCTGCATATACTTGGAAGGCAAAAACAAAAGTGTTTTCTCCCCTACAAATATTTGAAATTCCATTCTTCATATAAAACATTCCACATATTTAGAGAACAGAAAGCTATAATCTGCTTATGCATCACATTAAAGGAAATGCAATTTTCATTCTTCAAAGATGAAAAATTGTTTCCAGAAATGCATGTAATAATATGCTCATCAGATAAGTGAACTTTATCAGAAATGATTTGAAAATACTTACATACAGTGGCTCCAGTTTGGTTTCTCCCTCACCAGATTACTCTATTTTTACTTCTGCTGTTATTTAAGCCTCAGCTGAAACAAACTGTCTTTGACAGGAATGCATTTCTTCAGAGCTGCTTTGCCTGTCTGCAGTTCCCCAGATGAACACTGTTCCAATAATTCATATTGCTATTGGAGTTCTGTTGCTCCCCTAACACAGGCAGCACGTCTGCTCTGTCATCTCCCACTTACTGAGCATTTGCAGGAAAGAAACAATAGATGAGAAACTGACAACTGATAGTATCCAACTACTCAAGGCAAAGCAACCTGAGACCACAAAGTAACACTTTAGACTGTAATGGTATACTATGGTAGGTCAGCTGTCCTCTGGTGGCATTTTGAACCCCCAGAAAAACTGTAAAATACTGCTAATATAAATCTAGGGGCACAACAACACAGGAAAAGGATTTTAAACAATTGGTATCATGAGTATCACAGGATTCAAAAGGTGGATGTCCCTTTAAAATTATACTATGTCTTAATAAAAGGAAAAATCCTCAAATTCTCCTTAGCAGGAGAAAAGCAAAGTCTGAAATAATCCTGATAGATACTAGGTTCCACTTCAGTAAGTTAAATACGTTATGGATGTTAGCACCATAAAGCTGACAATTATATTGCATGAGGATCAGAAGCAATGTAAGTATTTATATAATTTACATAATAAACCTTCAGTTTAGAAGAAATAACAGGATACAATGTTAGTATTCTGATAAAGAGCCATCTTTTTAATACAGCTTGCAAAATTCATTCTGGTTTATGAGACCTTAATTACAATAACTTCTGCGCTGAAACAAGCGAACAGATGAATTGTAACAATCTTCAAGGCAAGATATCCATCAAAAAAACCAAGAAGTCTCTACAACACTTAGTCATATGAATCAATAATAATTCTCACAAGCTTACTAACTAAAACAGTGGTAAATTGCATTCTATGTAAAGGAGTTCCTAGAAAGTTTGCCAGGCAGCTGAGATTAAGAGAATGTTTGAATTAGATGGATATTTCAAATAAGAATTTAAATCTCAATTAGAAAATAATCAATGCACTAACATCTATTAATAACCACAAAAACTGCTGGAAGAGGCAGTTCAGTTACTACCTTTTTAGAGTTCAGTAAAAGTCATTTTTATAGACAGGAGTAAACATTTTTAACACTTACTTTACAGCCTCCACTGGGATGGTATATACTGCTGCCAACTCAGCACCACTTCCTGACACTAAGTGAAGAAAGAAAGAAATGTTAAACACAGTGGCAGAAGAAAAGTTTAAGTACCTTGATTCATTTTTCCAAACTGGAATCTGATTGCAATGCTTGGGACAGCACAGCTTTTATGAAAGGGCATTCCCTTTTTGAATTGCAGTCAATGAGGTGAGAATCCTGCCCCCCACTCTTTTGCAGAATACGCATTACCCGAATCTTGTCATTCGAAGCATTTCTATTCACTTCAATGATCACTTTGATATAGAAAGCACATAAGGATATAAATCCAACAATGTCATTAAATTCTTAAGAAATTATTCCGACCTAATAGTCCCCCTTAGATCCCGTAAGTCCTTCAGGACATAAAGCAAAGGTATTACGGAGCCAGACTAGAACCACTTATTACCATGACCTCATTCACATGGCAGTGTTGGAGAGCAAGGAGACAAAATAATTACAGTCACAAGGCCTTCAGCATGACTTCTATGGACAAGACTAGCCAGGGAGGTGCTATTCTCACCCCACTGGCTAGGTAGTAAACTGGAGGAAAAGGGAAGAGAAAGCAACCTGGTGGAAATTTTTTTGTACCCCATTCCCTGAATGAAAGATCTTCTTGTGCACTCTAAAGAGAACCTGTTTTGTTGCAAATCTTTGTTCTTTTTACTTCATGAAGAGAACTGATAGAAGACAAACCATTTCATAACTTATGTAAAGAAAACCCTCCCACAGTTGAGCTATTTACAACCATTAATAGAACAGATCTTGGCACGCTAGAGATGCAGCATATATAGCTGGAAGAAGCAGTGGAACACCATGTCTTCTATTTCAGGTGGAAAGCAAAAAGCAAAGAGGAGACTGAAGTAGTTGCTACATGGAGACCTTTTCAGAATGAGGAATGAAGCAGGGTTTTGAGGCCACACCAAATTGTGCCCAAGGGCCAGAGTAAAGGTCTTTGTCATTACAGCTCATAGGAATTACAGTGGAATGGGTAATAAATGAAGCCTTGAGAGCCCCATTTGAAGCATTTTCCAACAACATCAGAAAATTCCCAAACTGTTCCCATGACCAAGGGCCATACTGATGTCATCATACTGATGTCATCATTACACACAGGCTGAATGAAATGACTCATTTCTAAATTCACAAGGTTCTTGAGACTTTCAGCCAAAGCAGTTGAAAAATATTATATTATGATTATGATTTTAGCAATAGACTGCAGATAAGATTTTCATAAATGTCAGGTCTAACTCTCAGGAGTGATTCAAGCTCAGTCAGGTTTAAGCTTCTAAATCACTTCTGTGCATCTGAAATTTTTGCTTGAGATGAAGCCAGTTTAGGGAAGAATGTATAACCAAGCTTTTCTTAAACAAGCACTAAGTAATGGAACTTGTTAGAATATAACTAACAGAGATGTGAATATTACTTGTTGAAAAATTAGAAGGGACAGTCATGGCAGGATTTCCTATGACTTTAGGCAATCCTCAGAAGCAAAGGAATGATACTATTTTTAAAGCAGCTGTTGTGTATAATGTCTCCCTTCAGATTTCCATACTGCAGCAGGGACCCCCTGCTGACACGAGAAAATACTTGAGTCAGTATTTTCCTTCCCTTTCAGCTGACCTAAGCAGCTCCTAACACTTTCCAGGCTAAGATGACTTAGCGCTTCAGTTAGATAACATTTTTTTTCATTCCCTCCTAAAGTTCAAATAGCACACAAACAAAGTCTTTCACTGCTTTCAGGCTCAAACCTCAGCAGACCTCTTGCAGCTCCCTGGCAGCTCCCTGGCTTTCTGAAGCACCAGCAATTCGGCTTTACTGAGTAAGGCTCAGACTAGAGTGAGTCAGACATTGACATGCAAAGAAAGCAAACTCCTGCTGTGCCTACCATTATATAGGAAGACTCTGAAAGAGATTCTTCATTTCAGGCTCCCATGTCTTTGTCATCCAACAGTATTCCTAACCAAAGCTGAGTTTTCCCTTTTCAGACCTTTCCTGGAAGCCTACCAGCTGCAGCAACAATCCAGAACTGCTTCACTTGATCCCGAACCAGACCCATTTGCCTTTTTCATTAATCCTGAAAGTCTAGTTTTTCAGGGGTCATTCAAACCCTGATTTTCTCAAAACATTAGCAAAATTGTCATCAGATTAAGGAGACACTAAACCTATGATATAAAAGCAAAGTGAACATTCACCATTTTCTGAGCTGTTGTACATGCCCAGATGAAGACAGAAAGTTCTGCCAGGGTTTTGGTAGGTCTCAGATACTCTGGTCTCAATCAGTCCCCATAGAGATTCTTTCGCAGATTCAAAGGGGAATTAGTGAAATGCATCTGTATATGGAGCACGTTTATATCACCAATTCCAACAGGGTCCCATAAACCTCCTCATTTTTGCAAAGGAGAATGCACTCCACTGAATACCAGCAGCACCACCTTATTCAAGAGTGTACCAGCAACTTTATGAAATCACAAATCAATCCAACTGGTATATTTTCCCTGTCAATAATAGCAACACTGAGTTTTGTTTGGAATATGTAACCTTTTCATTTCACAGCCAGAATAATTCTGCTCCACAGGTAGGGAAATCAAGTCACAAAGTAGTGACTAAGTAAGAGTACCCAGTAGCTCAATATCTTGAGGCAGGTTTTAAACCTAAATATTGGATGTTACCACCCAGTTTCTTACTTAACCAGCCTGTCCAGACAGCTAACAGTGTTCCACATCCCAATGTCAGTTACAGCTTCATCTTCAGTGGGCAAGTTCAAACCTCCAGCAGCCAATAGCTGTGTGTACCTTCTGCATGTACTTTTACTGACTCTGAATTATTAACTCTGCTGGAGCATCTGATCAGTGCTAGCTATTTTTGGCTGGTATTCACAGCTCCAATTGAGTAGACTCTGGCGAGTATACCTGGCAACACTGGCTCAGAACAAGGCTGACACAGACACACAACACAAACAGGAAGAAACCGAGAGAGAGTCTGGGTGTTATTGATATAAGATTGTATTTTTACTAGGCTAATAAATACTGTGTCTGCTCATTCCTGTAGGTGTGTGGAAATCTCATTTCACAATGTCACATTCCTGAAGAGTACAGTTGGCATAATCTAGATAATGTATTTTAAATACTACATGCATTACCTTGTCATTTTATAAATTAGACTGCAGCAGACTTCAGAAAAAATAGGGAAAGCTAATCCCATGGAAAGCCACTATCTTCCCTTCTGCTGCTGGTTTAGCCACTGTCATTCCTATCTAGCCAGCCTAATTGCTTTGTTTTTGTGGGCTCTTGGGGAATAACATTACTACAAGTTTGGAAAAAATAACAACATTGACTGTGCTGACTTTTGATCAATCACCACCTAGCCAGGAAAGTCAGACCTATTAAGTGTCCTTTCTTTGCCAAAGATTAATGAGCCAAAATAAGTACCAGAGGCTGGAACCAGCTCTGTCTCAACTGTATTCAATGGCACAGTCACACTGGAAGATGAGGAAAAGGAAAAAAGAAGTGAAAGAAAACAAAGATTAGTAATATTTGCAGCATTATTTTTCTTCTTCATTATTAAATATGAGCAACTACTAGAACCATCTGAAACTTATGGTGACCACAGTGTAGATAGGTGATTTTAGATTTTTTCAAACAAAATTTCAAGCAGCTTCGAAATTAGGAAAGAACAATAAATAGCTCTTCTTGTTCAGCATTTCATAGACACGTGGAGTTGAACAGAATCAGAGTTCCAAACCAGCTTCTGAAACAGCACAAATCAACTCTTAGTTTCCCTTTGAGTCTTCCATTTTGTAGATCCTAGTGAATTTTCATGAGACTGCTGTTGCCCAGGAGCTTTCCCCAGCTTAAGCTGTTTGGTACAATACTGCTCTGAAAGTTCCAGCTTCAGATCAAACCCCTGCTTGCTTGTTTTAAGTTTAGGATCACTTCAACCACATTAAAACTTGGATCTCTGTTATATTATTTACTATTATCAACTTTTAAAAGGTTC